CTCAACTGACACCTTCTCATCAATCAGAAGATTTCAAGCGGAAAGATTATTGTCCTGTGGTTTTCCGGTTGGTCATTTACCACCTTCTACCTGCAAAGTCAATTATAATTTCTATATGCTAGATATAATTTTCAGTTGTCAATTCCATTATTTATTTTTTTATTTTTGAAGGCATGTCATTATGTCTAACAGTGAGGAAATAGCTTGATCTATTCCGACGGAATTCTGATCAGTAAATGTATATCTCACAAGTGAATTAATATACAAGATAATTTGTATATCATAGCTTCATATCTTTTATGCCTTCTCTCAGCCCTACTTCTCCTTTGCAGACTAGTTAAGAAAGAGATCTTCTGATAGTCATTGATCTCAGTCATTGATCAATTCAGCTGACCCCCTGTATCCCTTAGTGTATTTATTTTCTAAGTGAAATTAATGGTGTCATAGAAGTCTAAGCTAATTATTGGCATTTTATTTGTTTTTTTAATATATGCATATATAGACTAACTGAAACAGATTGACCTTCTTGTAGGAATCTGAGGGAAATGTTTAAAATTGATACTGCTGACTACATGATGTCCATCTGTGGAAATGCTGCACTTAGAGAACTTTCTTCTCCTGGGAAAAGTGGCAGTGTATTTTTCAGCATTACCAGCATTCAGGGTGCTGTCTACATTATGCAGAACCATCATCTAAGTGTACATCAGAGCGTGAGAAACTTTGTTTTAACTTGTAGGATAAAAACTACTTGTATGTGCTATAGAAACTTAGAATAGCTTAATGTATTATTGCCCTGATTGCCCATGTTGGCACTCAAATGCTTTCTCCTGAGTCACCCACTTCTTCAGTTACCAACAGTTTTGATGATATAGCTAACATGTCACAGTCACACTCACTATATTTCACATAAAATAGGTCCTTTAAACAGAGAATATTACAAAATATCCAACAAAAAAACAGAAAAATGTCACAGTCACACTCACTAAGTAGTACTTTGCGCCCTAAATTATTCTTTAGTTGTATTAAACAAGTGACTTATCTTTTGACTATGGACAACTTTCATTCACAAGCAGCATGCATGGTATAAGCAGCATAAATGAATGAACCAACTATGTAAATCGACAGCCAGCAATTCAAGGTGGATATGGGATAAATTTACAGTTTCCCATGATATACGAACAAACTCACAAATGAAAGCAAAATTTATGCAGGTAAACGCCATATGTGCTTTCTTATTTTTGTGCAGTTTCTAGAGTTTTACTTCTACTTGCAAGATAAAAGTGTAACCTGATTCATCAGCATTATGTTGAACTTCAGTGCCACCAGCAGAACTGTTCAACTCATTAGATTGATCATCATGTGCCTGGTCTTCAGAGTTGTTCCTATTATCCATCAACTGCTCAATATAAGGCTGGGCCACAGAATGGTTTTAAGCATCCATCAAATGCTCAATATAAGGTCGCACATCTTCATCATCGTCTTGTTCAATTACAAGTCGGTTGCGACCTCTAGTTCGCATAGTTCCTTCTCCAAAAATAAAAAAATTATCTAGCTGCATTAAACTATATTAGTACCAGATTAACTCCAATAGATCAGCAGGTCACATGCAAAACAGGAGGAAGCATCGTCCTATTCTCAAGATGTGAAAAACATTAACAACTCGTGCACACAAACAAAGTCTTGTGACAAAGGTTATTTTAGAGATAAGAGTTATTGATGCACTAACAAAAAAATTATCAAGTGATAATACCACCTTAGCATATCACATTTAAATGAATATAATAAGCAAAATATAAGTAAAAGAAAGCACAACAAATTCACTCAAACATCCAATATTAAACTTCTGAAGTAAAAAAATAACACCCTTAGAAGTTCTTAAATAACACTTGCAAAAAAAATATTCTATAAGTTCCACCTATCTTATTCAGAATCACATTCATTTTCTATGTCATTTCCTCCCTCGACATTATACTCATCTTCTAGAACACGAGCATTTTCTAAAAGAGCTAAGTCAGTAGCATCACTCTGCGTTGATGACTCAAGCTGCACACTATTTTCCTCCCCCATATTAAAAATGTCTCGAGGTTTAATTAACCTAGGGACAAACCATTCATGATCTTGAGGATCTTGCACAAATATTACTTGTTGATCTTGTTCTGCAAAAATAAAGGGCTCATGACGTTCTCGATCGCCAGAGTCTGTCAGGTGTGAGAAATTCACAAGTGTGAAACCCAAGTCGTCTTCCTTAATTCCTCTACCTTTGGTTACATCAACCCAATCACACTTAAATAAGATAACCTTAAATTTTTCATAGTAGTTTAACTCCACAATATCATTCAATCTGCCATAATATGTGATATTTGCAGATTTTGGAGCATTGTCACTTGTGCTTGCATAACTTTCAGTCTTTGAAACGACCATAACACCACTATTTTGTGTCACCTTGAACTCTTCACTTTGTTTTATTCGGAATCAATAGCCGTTATTTACATCGAACGCACTAAATCTTTTTTGCAATGTAACTCGGTCCTCGTGCAAGGACTTTAACATCCTTTAAGATGTTATGCGTAGCTTCCAACTCCTTTACCTAACCAAATAAAAGATATAACTGTAAATGTGGATATCTGTACAAGGACAATAATTTAATGTAACCAATGACTTAGTCCTACTACTTACTTGCTCTTTGAACCACTCATGGAATGTATCGAAATGCACACGGTCAAGTTGATGTTGTGTCAAACGACGCTTAAGATGTGCTCTTTTGATTTCAGCAATATGTTCCCTATTCATGTAACTCCCATATATCAATTTTGTTATCAAATAAGTAATATACATATATTAAATAATAGATATAATACTTACTTTTTATAATTCTCAACCACTTCTGACTCGCAATTGAAAAGCACATGTCGATGTGCTTGCAACCATATTTTCTCATCCAACTCAAATACATCTACTCCACCGTACGACTCCCCAACAACAGGAAAAAGACATTCTTCTTTACTAGTCTCATGCTCAATCTCATCACTGCATTTTCTTGAACAATAAGACCTTGAATCTCCACCCTCCAAATATCGTTAGCAAAATGCCATACACTCATTTGCTACGTATGCTTCCGCTATTGAACCTTTTGGACATGCACGATTACGAACATATGATTTTAAAGTACCCCAAAACCTATGGAACAAAGTAATATTATTAGTTTGATATTAGAATATTTAACAACTAAAGACATAAGATAAAGATTCAGTGATATTCTTCATACCTCTCAATTGGGTATATCCAACGATAATGTACTGGACCTGCATGTTTAGCCTCAGTTGCCAAGTGAATTACCAAGTGTAACATAACAGTAAAGAATCCTTGGAGGAAGAGTTTCTCCAAGGTAGACAATGTTTCTGGAATTTTTTATTCAAGTAACTTTAACTCTTCTAGTTTTATCTCTTTGCTACACAGAACACGAAAGAATGTGCATAGTTCAATTAAAATTGAACTAACTCTTTTATCTACTGATCTCCGCAAGGTGAGAGGAAGAAGTTCTTGCATTAAAACATGAAAATCATGAGTTTTTAGCCCAGATATCTTTCGTTTGCGAAAGCAACGTGAGATATTAGACGCATAGCCATCTGGAAACTTGGAATTTTGTAGTGCTTCATAAAATAACTCCTTTTCCATCGGAGACATTGTGAAAAAAGTAGGAGGAAGATATGCTCTACCACTAGCTCGGTACTGAGGCCATAAGCTTGGTCTTATTTTCATCTCCTTCAAGTCCAATCGAGCCTCTAAGTTGTCTTTAGACTTTTTACCAAGATCCAATAATGTATAAATTATGTTATCACACGCGTTCTTTTCTATGTGCATCACATCAAGATTATGGCGCACCAAGTTAAATTTCCAATAAGGAAGATTAAAAAAAATACTTCTCTTTTTCCATGTGTTTTTCATCACCCCACTTACCAGTTCACTTGACTGTCCAAGAGTAAATTTTGTATCTTTAACTTGATTCAGCACTACTGAACCAATTACTGGACAAGGTGCAGATCTTGTTTCTTTAGTCCCATCAAATGATTTTGCATCATTTCGATATTTGTATCCTGACTTCAAGAAGTGGCGATGCCCCATGTGACAAATCTTTCTGCCATGTTTGAGCTTTCTAGATTGAGTGTTTATATTACAAGAAGGACATGCAAATCTACCATAAGTGCACCATCCATAGAGAGTACCATATGCTGGAAAATCATTTATCGTCCATATGAGAGCTGCTCGCATTTGAAATATATCCTTAGTAGAGGCATCGTAGGTTTCTATACCAATATTCCATAATTCATTTAACTCTTCTATTAGAGGTTGCAAAAAGACATCAATATTATTTCCATGCGATTTTGGTCCAGGAATAAGTAAGGACATAATGAAGAACTCTTGTTTCATGCGCATCCATGGTGGAAGATTATATGGCATTAAAATCACAGGCCCGTGTACTGTGAACAGTTCGCATTGTGCCAAATGGATCACTGGCCATGTACTGTGAACAGTTCGCATTGTGCCAAATGGATTTGCGAGGGTCTCCAGCAAATTTAGGATATTTACTATCAAAATATTTCCAAGCTTCAGAATCTGCAGGATGTCGTAGAACTCTATCTTTGTTGCGCTCTTCATGATGACATCGCATTGCTTTAGAAGTTTCTGATGACATAAACAATCTTTGTAGCCTCGGTTTTAAAGGAAAATACTTTAGGACCTTGGCTGGAGTTTTTCTAGCATCATTTTTCCATCTAGAAGCCCCACAAACTTTGCATTCATTGAAATTCTTATTAGCAAACTCTTTCCTAACAAGCATGCAATCGTTGGGACAAGCATGGATTTTTTCATACTTTAAGCCCAAGCCTTCAACTATCTTTTTGGTCTCATAGAAAGAAGGAGGCAATTTTTTCCCTTCAGGCAGCGCATCCTTCAATAGTCCAAGCAAAGCATTAAAAGATTCATTTGACCATTTGAACATGCATTTTGTACGATACATATGCGGCAAAAAGGACAGTTTGCTAAACTTCTTACATCCTGGATATTGTTCTTCATTTGCCTCCTTCATGAGCCATTCAAACTTATCCACCTCTACATAAGGATGGATGAGCATTATTCTCTTGTAAGTTATGATCTACATCACCCCTTTCACTAACGCCAGTATCCATGAACTGTGTAAAGCCTCCAAAGGCATCATGTATCATTCCTGTCATATCATCGCTCCTTAGAGTTGACTGGCTTCGATTATTTATTTGAGCATTGCTTGATCCCTTTAAATACTCACCATGACAAAACCAAGTATCATATGATGGCATAATACCATTAATAAAAAGATGATCATATGTTGTAGCCCGATTAACTTGATGGATAAGCACACACTCCATACAAGAAGGTGATTTGATGTAATTCGGACCTTTGGTTGAAAAGTTAGAAATTTCGAACTATCTTGAGAATTTCATGAGTTTTGGTGTTAAATTCATTGTTTAAGATGTTATTTTGGCGATTGATCGCACGAGCAAGTCTGTATGATATTTTTAGACTTGTGTGCATGTTTGGTTAGAGCCCCGAGGGCTCGGGTGAGTTTTGGATAGGCCACGGTGTGATTTTGAACTTAGGGAATTTGCTGGTATACTTCAGCAGAGTTGCAGGCCTCTGATCTCGCAATTTCGAGATCAGGCTTCGCAATTGCAAGCTTTACAGGCTTGGCAATTTCGAGCCTTTCATCGCAAATGCGATCACAAGGCTGGGCCAGCTTAGTTCGCATTTGCGAACACCCCTTCGCATTTGCGAAATCAACAGGAAGGGTCAGCCTTCGTAATTGCGACAAATTGTTCGCAATTGTGATAGTAGCAGACATGCGGCAGGTTCGTATTTGCGAAGCCTGTCTCGCATTTGCGAGCTTCGCAATTGCGAAGCTCCTGTCGCAATTGCGACATCTGTAACTGTTCAAATTGAAACTTGGACGGAATTTTCACCCATTTTTCATATCTCTCAAATCCTAAAACCCTAGAGACAATTCTCCCAAGACCAATTCTTCTCCAAACCTTTGGTAAGTGATCCTAATCCACTTTCTTTCACTTTCCTATCATATTTCATGAATCTCCAACAAAAAATCTATGATTTCTATGGTAAAAATTGGGGGTTTGGCTAGAATTAGGGATTTTTATAAATTGGGGATTTAGACCTCAATTTGAGGTCGGATTCTAAAATCAATTGTATATCCGGGCTCGGGGGTGAATGGTTAATCGGGTTTTGGTCCGAACTTCGAGTTTTGACCAAACGGACCCGGGTTCGGTTTTTGACTTTTTGGGGAAAATGATAGAAAATCTATGATTATGCATTGGAATTGTTTCCTTTAGCGTTTATTGATGTTATTAAATTAATTATGGCTAGATACGGGTGAATTGGTGGTGGAATTGAGAGGTAAAGCGGTGGTTGAGTGTTGAATTACCCGTTGGCTTGAGGTAAGTATTTGGTCTAACCTTGACTTGAGGGACTAGGGATCCCCGACTTATATGCTATGTGGAATTTCATGTGTGTGGTGTATAGGTGTGGTGACGAGTACCTATGCGCCACCAAATTATCATTTTTTCCTGTTCCCTTCCCCGTCTCCCTTTATATTGCTATCCTGCCTTAATTGCTACTTGCTCCTAAATGTTTTCATGTCTTATTGCTTCACATTAACTGTTGTTCTCGTTATTGAAGAATTTAATTATTCCATGGTTTTGTTCCATTACCCTGTTGGCTTGTATTGGTTTATTGGTGCCATATGGTGTATCTTGGTTGGTCTCGCTAAGTAGTTTTCACTGGTGAAGTTTTATAATCGTAGTGATATTCCATTATGTGGTTTGGAGTATAAGTAATATGGGGAATTTGAGTTAGCTTGTGAAATACCTTGTCTTTATTCTTTTGTGTTTGGTGTTGATATATATATTGGGATCGGGTTGCACGCCTCAATAGAAGGAATACGGGAGAAATGTGATAGTCTGGTGGGATCGGGTTGCACGATGGACAAGTGAGATCGGGTTGCGCGTAGCAACATGAAGAATAAGAGTGATATGTGTTGAGGAGTAATAAGGGTGGATAGGTGGGATCGGGTTGCGCTCCGCAACAAGGAGGAACAAGGGTGAATATTGATACTGTTATTGTTCATATGGTGGGATCGAGATGCACGCCGCATCAGTTATTGTTTTTGGCATTCATTTCTATTGCGGTTCATTACTGAGATGTTGAAACTCCCTAAGATTTAGTTATAGCTGAATACTAGTAGAATGGATGGGTTCTGTATTTCTTTAATGGAAGTTTCGGTTATTTTTCATTATGTACATCTTTTCTGTTATTATAAGCTATTGCAGGTTTTATTTATATATATATATATATATATATATATATATATACACACACCCCGCCGTAGCCTTGTCACTACTTCGTCGAGGTTAGGCTCGGCACTTACCAGTACATGGGGTCGGTTGTACTGATACTACACTCTGCACTTCCTGTGCAAATTACGGAGCTAGTGGCTGACCAGAGTTCGAGGTTGCTGCCTTCAGTCCATAGGAGACCCAAGGTAGTCCTGTAGACGTTCGCAGGCCGTGACGTCCCCTTCTATCCTATTTTATTTCTGTTTTATCTACTTCCGAGACAGATGTAAACTTTTGTTCAGACTATTATTTGTAGTATTCGTAGACTGTCCATGGGTTGTGACACCAGTTCTGGGTGGAGTTTATTACGATTTGTTATTAGCTCTAAGATAATCTTTTAAACTGTGGTCTTCCGCATTTATTTTCGCTGATTTACTGTTGTTAACTTTTTAAATTGTTAAAAGATAAAATAAAAAGGTGAAATATTCTGAACATTGGCTTGCCTAGCGAGTACAAATATTAGGCGCCACCACGGTCCCGACGGTGGGAAATTCGGATCGTGAGAGGCCTATATGTGCGATTCTGTTAATCTCGCCTCTTCCATATCCCGTTCAATGAAGGAATAGGTTTTTCTATTATTTTCTGATTCGAGGGAATCGTTCGTCCTTGTCCAAAAAATTTGGAGGGAAAGATTTATTTTTTGGGCAGGGAGGGAAAGTTAAAATAAAAGAAAAACCTATTTCGCTAAAAGTCAATTAGTAACTTTTAGTGGAAATTTATTTTTATTGTCGGTAAAAGGATTTTTTTTACTGGTTAATGGTCATTTGTCGCTAATATTTCAGCTTATAGCATCTATTAGCGGCAATTGACTTATTGCCGCTAAATAATTACCGCCAAATGCCTTTTTGTGTAGTGTGTAGCTCAACCTAGGGATCATTATAATGGTCCATATATCACTTCTTTTTGTAACAATATGCAAAGCATACACTTTGCTTCTAGTATTGGTTATCACTTAATTTAATATAACTTCGTCTGTTGACCCAAAAAAAAAATAATTATATTCTAATGGTCTAACATGTACACTCTTATCAGAAAGATTTGCAGCACTATTTTTTCTAAAGGTATCTGTTTAACCATAGGTGCCGAGTGCCAAATCAAAAGACATCTTGCCAACCTAGCTGATTATCTATAGTAACACCATGTTTGGATGATTATTATCCATCGTTTTATAATTTATTCTATTGTATTGTATCGTTTTATGGATTCAACGTTTGAATAGATTGTATCGTTTGCTGTTGTTAAAGAACATTTTGTTGTTTGGTTTGACTGTATCGTATTGTACTGTAACTGATAAGTTTACTAAAATACCCGCAATTGTTTTAAATAAAATTTATCAAGAATTACACAAAAAGATAATTTGCGAAAACATCTTTCTACTAATTTATCATTAATTACGTAGCTTGGAAACAAGAGAAAAAACTCGAAGAAAAAGGTTAACTAATATTAGCAACAAAAATTAAATTAAAATGATGGAAAGAGACAAAGAATCGAATGGAGACTTGAATAAAAAGAACAGGGCGAACCAACTTTACAAAAGATGGAAAAAAATAAAGTAGGTCAATAGGTTGGAGATTTGGAGTTAAAATAAAATAAAAATATAAATGATAAAATAGAATTATAGTAATAAGTAAGGGCATAATTGAAAAAGAAAATAGAATGCAATCCCACCACACCAAATCAGTTGTTTCATAAAATAGGGTTTTTGAATGTTCCAGAACAATGAATTTAACAATATAATACAATCAATTTTAAATAAACTATCGAAATAAACATTATTTTGGGATAATGATAGATTACGATACAATAGGTAAGGTAAGATTCAACTGGGTAGACCCACTTCAAATTAATTAAATCACACCACGCTCTGGACGTGAATTGAAAGGGCTGGAAATGCAAATTGAAATTTTAAATTACGCTATTTAATATATTCAATTAGATAAAAAGACAGTAATAATTTTTCAAATGTCTCCATTAGTTATAGAATAATAT